CCCAATGATATGATATCATTAGGATCTCTAAAAATGCAGGTCAAATTATATGATGTTTATCACTTCTTCTTATTTGTTTCCATTAAATATTTTTAATCAAGCACGTTGATAGTCGACATTTATGCTTATCAAGTCACCCATTATCCAAAATCCTCCCCCCAGTCGTCCTCACCCCAAACTCGAAACGACCAATAGGACGAGAATACAAAATAAGAAGAATGTAGGGGATATTTTCCGTCCAAAAAAACGAGTTCTCATTTCGTAAGCATGCAACCTCAAATACGGCGCTCCATATCTGTTATGTGGGAATGAATGCGGAAATGGAAGCAACAAAAATCCGACGAGAAATGGACAATCGAGGCCAAAAGGACCGTCTTTTGTCCACGGGTGCTCACAAATAATACTCTTCCCTCACTTTCTGTTGCAGCTCCTCATTGTCACAGAGGCTGCATCGGAGATACACGCTGCTGTTCCTGAAACTTGGGGTCGGGCAGGTGAAGCAAAGGCTGAAAGCGGAACGACTTGACCACGTGCACAGAGTCGGCCATACAAGTCCTTAGGACAAGTGACCAGCCCAAGAAGTTACAATTGCGGGCTGTTGTGGCGGAGACATACTCAGGCAAAGACCCGATGAAAGCGCAGAAGATCCAGCACAGGTTGCGCAGCCCCGCCTCCGGACCAACAATCCACCGCTCGGGAGTGACAGCTAGCGGGCGTCAGAGACTTGAGCCTTGCTTATTCAAGCCTTCCCTGATGCCCGGAAAACAGCACGAAGACCTTGGAAACCCATCGGTAAATGGGCCTTCTGGCTGCACTGCGGCCGGGTAAAGGTAAGCCTGCATCATGACAAGCTGTCATTGCTAAACTGTCACACGGAATGCCACTGCAGATGAGGCACCAAGCTCTCATCGCAGCAGGGTGGCTTCTCCACGGTGGCTCCGCGACGCGGCCGCAGGAAATAGGGCACTGAGACACCTCGACAACAGCATATACACAGGAAAAGCGTTTTGCTGTTCCCAACCAAACCTACTATGCAAGGAAACTATGAGAAACCTCTGCTAAGTGATGTGTAGTGTCGCGCTCTTCCTTGTTTGAGCCTGCCAGCCGACACCCCATGCACCAGTCCAGTATAAGCTGATGCTGTGGCAAGAACTAGAGCAGTGCCGGCAAAAACCAGCACATCTCCTTAGCATCCCAGAGACCAACACAACAGACATTGGGCGTCAGATAGTTCAACTGCCAGGCCAAATTGTACCACATGCTTGAACAGAGTAGCCATGGCTTGGAACTCATATAACAAGTGACAACTGTCGGCCTACTCTGCAGCGTAGCTTGCTCGCACCACCCCGGAACCTTTCTGTGTACTGAAGGACTTGCCCCGGTTCCAGCATCCTCTTAAGGGCCACGACCCGTCGCGCTTGTGCTTACACGTGCTATTGTAGAACAATTTGCTGACATGTATCCCTGCACTCATGCGAGCTATGCCTCGTGCCGGGTGCCCTTGCATACATACGTCGCAACCATGCTGCGGTCTGGATCCAGAAGCTCTTCCAAGAAAGCTGTTTCACCGATTGTGTCATGAAAGGGGGATGCCATCCTTAGCAGCACGCAATATAAGATGAAGAAGAACAGGGCAGGACACAGACTTTTTTGAACACACATAACCGCCCCGGCATACGGAACATACTGCAGAGATGAAATGTCCGCCAGGCGTCAATGCAGGCCATGACCCTGCTGGTGCAAGAGTCAATAGTCCTAGGTCCAGGTGCCAGCAGGGTCCAGCACCTCAATTCATGCTAGCCATGTGGGGCCGCGGCAGTTGCAGGGTTTCCAGTTTCTTGCCGCAAGATGTATTTTACTTATTCTAACTCGACCATAGCAAAGCATGCAACACCTCGATTTCAGCCAAGAATAAACGTGACTTGTCATCGTTTGGCATTCCTTTCAGAAGGCCCTGCCAACTTGCGGGTATGAGTTGCAACACCAGCAAGCACGAGCCGCACTCGACACCATTCGGCACAGCGAGTCACATTTGTTTTTGTCAGAGCGGCTTCTGCGCAACCGGGAGAAGCAAGGCCTATGCCCTAAGACAATGTAAAACCCCAATGAATCCCTTTGGAACATAGTCGAAGGTGACCCTGCGACATGGCCCCAACCCAACGCCGCCCGTTACAGGGCTTTGGATATCAAAAACTTACGTCACCCTAAGTTTCGCTAGCCCCCAAACTAGCAGGCGAGCGGTGGACTGTGCACAGTGAATGGGAGGGATCGAAAGAAACCAGACCTGAACGGAGCTGCCTGGAACAAGCGATACTTTCCCTTATTACGCTGTGTAAAAAATAATATATCTCCGATCGCAGTTTGAACCTTTAGGCCCTTGCAGAGACTTCTAGCAGTTGGGATCGCATGATTGTATCAACCATCCTCAGGTCAGGTTCGGGGTTCCTAAGCGGCGAGAGGACACGGCGACAACACCTGAATCCCCATGTAACGCAAAAGAGAAACACCTCAATAGAAAGCTTCCCCTCAATGTACGGTTCCATGGCAGAAAGGGATGCCTTTCCCGAGCGTGCTACAACGGCAATACATCAGGCAAGCATCTGTCTTTGCCGCCATAAATATTTGCTCGAAGGAAACTTGGCTCCTGGCACATTGCGAATAGGTTCACATCCATGTGCCACTTCCCCCCCGCGCACGCTAGTGGGCAACCCATTGTACTTTTGTCACAGCTCCTTTGCACTGTGGAGCGGCTCGGGCGTCTCTGTCACGAGATCAAGGAGCTCTGGCATTTCTTCATGCTGTGCCACTGCCGCCAGGCACGTCAAAGACAGCTCATGCAATTCTCTCGCTAGGTGCAGGGTGGCTGCAGCGCCTGCATCTGCGACAGCCTCTCCAGCTGAGATTCCAGTGATGTCTAATCTCTGCAAAGGTCTTGGGAACTCCACCCTCTCATGCCGAACGTGGCCAGAAAGGGAATCAAGGCCGTAGTCTGCCAGCTGCGGGTCCCTCTCTCCGGCCAGACTCTCCAACCAACTCAAAGCGTCCTTCCGCCTCACAAACATTCACTAAAACTGACGCGCACATTTATGCGTGTGACAAGCAGAAACATCCCTTTTTGGCCCCAAGGCACCTTTTCAAATCGGACTGGACGATTGCAAAACCACGGTGCTTCAACTCGTAGCAGAACTCCGCCCTGCAGCGCAACACATCATCAGCCGCCACCTCTGCAGCGCTACTTCGCCAGCTGACGTAGTAAGAAACACGGGAACTTCAATATAGGCACTTATTTTGGCCCGCAAAAGGTCCCAACATCGTCATCTGCAACCACCTCCCCTTTCAAGGTTTAGGGCTGGAACTTACGGCCCTCCACCGAACATTCTGTACCAGGACGGAGGGTTTGGGGACACCATTTTAGACCCGAAATGAACGCTAGATTGGGGCGCTCCTTCAAGGGTTTGGCGCCATGTCAGACCGCTTCGGTAGGGTTTTCAATTGGGCCCCCCGGAAACTTAAAGGGGCCAGGCCCACACCCTCGAAAAGCCCGCTGGAAGGCGCGGCATATCTTCAGGTTGTGTGGGTCACTGCTTACCAAACTTCGCAGAAGGACATTTGGATCAGTGCTCATGTAGCATGTTCTGGTTAGAGCAAAATTGGGCGCGCAAAAAAAAGGAGACCATTGAGGATGACCATTCCAGACCCCCACAAACTGAGATTATAACATCATCCCGTATAGCGAGGAAACCGCTTCAAGCTTGCTACCTCACATGCGCGTTTAAAATTCAGGGCCACGGTTTGTCTTCCTCTCCACTTGTGGGCTTACAGTTTACCACCCCACATGCTGACATCCTCTTTCAGCGAGAAAACCACCCAATCTGCTTTGAGGGTTGAGGCTTCCCAGGAAGACTCAAACACTGACACGTTGGGACGGCTGGTGGAGGCCGGATCCCTGCACTTTGGACGTGTTGTGGGATGTCGGCCGGCAGCCGAATCCCTCCGAATCGTTGCGCCTTCGACATTCTGGGACGTCGTCCGCACGGGCGAAGGTGAGCCAACAGTGAAGGCCAAGTCGCTATGAAGGAGCTTTCACAAAAAACAGCCTGCAAACTACAACAGCTTGTCCGGCCGAATGCCCTTTCGTAGGGCCTGCCCAGAACAAACCGCCTTAAACACTTTAAAACCTTAAACTCTGTGAGCCCTCGAAACCCTCAGTGTGAGCACACTTGTCAAGGGCTTTCTACTTGCAACTGAATTCAGCAAAGCCCGGGGACCCATAGCTTGTGGGTAACTCAGCTCTCCATCTTTGCTCGGCGTCGCCTTCTTGGGAATTCTGCCCACGGTCGCAAAGCCAACGCCACCATGCAAACGATACGTCGCGCAGGCGGCGATGCAAATGGCAGCCTGGTGAGATAGCGAGCACCTTTAGTTTGCGATCCTTTGAGGGCTTCCATCTCCACTTCGTGGTTTGGGTTTACCATATTATGGCTGTTTAGGTTTTCATTCCTTATGTTTTCGGTTTGCCATATCCTTTTCGGCTTCTGGCCTTCCCGACTAACATGAACCCTGCAGGATTCCCAGCCAACACGCAGCATCGCAGAGCTTCGAAAGCTTGAATGCGCAGCACGCCAACTGACTTGGCTGAGGGGTGGCTGGCCTCAGGAGCCTTATGCCTTGCAACCACGCACAAAAAAGAACCACTCAGCTACCTTCAAGTGCCTACCAACTACAGCGTTACACCAGCCGAGGGGCGACTCGCCGCACTTGGCACCATTCCGGAGTAGAGGACATAAGTTGACAATACTTGACAAGTTAAAGTACCACAGGTGAAACCATTTGTGTGTGCGAGGTTTGTTCTGGCTCATTGCAGCAAGGCTGAGATCCAACTACCAGAGCTTCCGATGTGTAGAGTGCCACCAGCAAGCGTCGACAGTCTACCCAGACCGTCCAGAGGACTTTACCACACGATGCGATAAGCAATGCAACATAATGCAACATGCAAAGCAATAAGCAATGCAACGGCTCTGTGAGACTGACAGGGCGGCCTGTCACGTGTTGTGACATTGCCATCAAGGATCCAGCCACCCCTTTCTCACCATGTGGAGATTTATGAGCGAACCAGCCTCAGGTCACTGCAAAGGAACTCAGAAGCGACCCAGACTGGCTTGCATTGCTGATTACTGAATACCTCTTGTCATCCAGCATAACTGCAGGCGATAAATTAAACAGAAACTGTGCTGCAGGACCTCAATGCATTATAACTAAAGCCCCGAACCCCTGGTGTTGCCATCGTTGGACACGTGAACATATGTGGCTACACCTAATCTACACCTACCCCCGTGACATGCTGCATCGCTGCATCGCACAGCCATCTTTTGAGCCTCCGACGTTGCAAGCCATTCCGCCAGGAGCTTAATCTGCTCGGCACCTGCAACAATCGAACAATCGATGGCTCTCTCACAGACCGCATCCCGCATCGCGCAGCTCTTCCACGCTAACGCAAACCTTGACTTGCAACCAGCTCGTGCTTCACCAATGTCTGCGCATCAGGTCTCCTGCAGGTGTTTCTATGAGAATGACTGCTACATGCAGAATCGAAAAGGCAGAAGCGCCCAATTTTCACTTATTCTCACTGAATACTCAAACGATGCAATTGATGTAAGTGATGCAAATGATGCAACGCGCGCAAGAAGCTACTCCCACACAGAGCGGGCGCACGTTGTGTCGTCACGCTTCAAGCACTGGGCGACGAAGCCACACAATGCCGATGGAAACTTGTGCGTGTCCAATCGCGGCCTCAGAGCTGAACGCCGACAACTCGAAAAAATGCGAAGAAACTGCTGAAAGTGAAAGTGACCGAAGGCTTGTTTATCAGGCTTCAACTTTCGCTTGAGAAATCCGAATCGGTTAACACTCGTGACTCACAGCCTGTTCAGGATTCATTCTGCCGTCTCGATCCAGTGTGGCTTCCTGCTTCGGGAATTGATCAAATCGCCTTGCGATAGGCAACTGGCCAAGGGCTCAATAATATCGAGGTCAGAACCCATTCCGCTTTAGATTCCATGTCGAAAGCGCAGATGCAGTTAAGGTCCACACTCGGGCTGCGTGCAGAGGCACTTAGTTCACCAACAAGTCAGCAAAACTGTGTGTGGTTCATGATCACTCGGAAGCACTGCTGTACTCGCCAGCACGCCTCGTACAAGTCAAGGAAATTCTTCGCCTTGTATGGATACCTGACACTCAGTAAGGCAAAGAGGAATGGCAAGCATGCTGAAAGAACTGGAAGCTATCGAGAGATCTATCAAGAGGAGCAGAAGGCATTGAACTGTTCCACAATCACAGTTCCGACCGGGCACTGCCCATTCGCCAACTCGAAAACCACCATACCGGCACTCCACACCTTAGAAAGCATGCATCATCTTATATTTCCGGGTGCGAGCACTGCATTGCATGATCCTTGCGTTGGCGGATGATACAACATGCAAGCACATGCAAGTTTTGTGCAGCACCAAGGTTGCGACATCTGACCTGCAAGCAACGAGCCCCGACCCACTGTCAGTGCACAAGTACAGTCTGCATCCCAGATCTGGCCTGAAAGAGTAGTCCTGTCACAAAAAAAAAATGCAACAGATTGCACAACACAGAAAAGATTAGCAAGCCTTGCCCAGTGCTCGCTCAGGCGACATGTAGTTCGCAGTTCCGACGAAACTCGCTGCCACGCCAGCGGTGGATGTCAAGTCCTGGTTGCACTGCATGCTCGAGCTCAGCCGCATGCCAAAAAAAACAATGACATACTGTAGGAGGGGAAAGGGGGCATCTTTGACAAAAGTGGCCTTCGACAGAGCACTGTTGGGTCAGGAAAGCGAATATGGAGGGAAAATCCTTGTAGTTGTTTTGCTCGCGACCGACGGCCACACAAAAGGCCCTTAAGTGCATGGACTGCGCATGGCTCTCGGCATCTCTCAGGCACTGTTTCCGCTGTACCGCCTCCCTTACTTTGGCCATTATGGTTGTACAGAAGTTGCCACGCTGCCCTGGAGGCTGTACTGCACCATGCTGTACCTATTATACACAAACACAAAAGGAATGCAAAAGAACGCAAGCAAAAAGAAAAAAGGCGAGAGTCGCGGGGAGTCGCGGGGAGTCGCAGAGAGAGTCGCCGGGCTCATGCTCCCACAAGGTTCAAGGTTCCAGGAAAGCAATGATGGCAGTCCTTTGATATGCCAAAGTCTGTGAGCTTCACCTGAGAGGACCGTGATTCTCACAGACATTCGCTCCAGCCGAGAGGCGTCTAGAACAAGCAGACCAGGATCTGTGTGGGACTGCCCAAACCGGATGCTGCGGCGTTCCAGGCTGTGGGCGGATCCCAACCACGCCACCAAAAAGGCCAAACCGACAATGGCCCCCTGCGACCCCTTGGAACCCCCAAAGACCTACGACATCCTGCAATCTGCACTGGGCCTCTTCTGCCTGGGACCCCTTGAAACCCTCCCCTCGACAGTTGCACGATGTTGCACGTACTACATCATGCTACCCCCCGACTGCCGACGCGGCGCACGGAAGCGTTTACAAATCAGATGGTCTCAAGCGGCCATGCCTGGCCCAAGCTGTTGTGCAAGACATTCTCGGGCTTAATGTCTCTGTGCAGCAGCCGCCTTGTCGCTGACACTATTGGCATCTATAAACTCCCCCGCACTGTCCAGCTCTTGGCCTGCTGTGCAAATGCTCCAGGCCCCGCAGTACTTGAGCAGCAATGCAAGCAACATGATCTGGCCTCGGGTGTGTGGAGCTGACGCAAAGCTCGACTCACTCTTCTCTCGTGCGCAATACTCATTTGCAGCAAGGACATCCGAAAGAATGCACAACTTCACAACCAAAGCTCAATTGCGGAACAACGCTGAAGAACCACACTAACGACAATGGCCCGCACGGCACAGGACCAGCCAGACGCCTGCACTGCAAATCATGAGCTGCCACAAAGCTGTCATAATCTAGCTGCCGCAGGTGTTCTAGCATGTCGCACATTGTGGCTGACGATCTGCTTCTTGTGTGAGAAAGTATGCCATGGTTGTGAGCCTCCGCAAGTCGGCAAGGCTGCCTCTGTCCATCAGCTCTACGACCTGCAGCTGCAGCTTGAGAAATCTCGAATGCTGCCACATCTGCGAGTCGGCACTTGGGCCATGACAACGTGCACAAGCCCGGTATCCTGCAACTCAGATTCGAGAAGCACTGCTGACACTTCACCGCGCACCACACACCCGAGCCTTACCAACGAAGCCAGCGTACCACTGGACCAAGTAGGGACATCCAGCAGCCTCACATGTGCAGAGAAATGTTTTTCTGTCCATTGCTGCATACGATGTAAAGCATCATAATAGATGCAAAACAGGTGGCAAGAACCAAGCCCTTGATCTCTTGCAGCATCTGCTCACGCTTCTCCTTGTTGTCAACCTTCACCTCGAGTCGGCTGAGCGTGATTTTTGCGAAGCCTCCGATACCGTATCACAGGAGAGCACCGTCTTGATGGCAACTCGCATTCCGGTGGGCTTGTGGACTCCGGCTTGGACCTTGAACTTCAAAGCCGGCACCAGGGTTTTGGGCTGCGTCTTTGCCGCATGTCTTTGTTGGGACCCCTGCCACACCGCCGGCACCGGTTCCCAAGGTACAGTCGCGGTCCTGCAATTGCTGAGCCTTTAAGGCTTTGCCATATACCATCACGCATATCAGGAATATTCAGGAATTCTCATCGTCCCTATTGGTGCTGACAAACAGCCGTGCACGGGTCCAGGTCAATATCCTGAGGTGAGAGTTTGTACTCCCTGCCGTCAACCACGACGCCCTTGTCGGGCGATACCTCAACGTCACATTATCATCCCACTGTCAACTCTTGGGTCCAAGGCCCAGACCCGCATTCCAGAGGGGTTGTGCCGCAGCGTGCCATCCTCCAATGTCACAATGTACTTTCAACGATGATCGCACCAATTTGCACATCGGTGCCAAGGTGTCATTCTCTAATTCTTGGGGGTGGTGCTTTCCTGGGTTCGGGCAAAACACATTCAGTTTTTGAGGTGTTAGCTTAACGTTTAAAGTTTGAGGTTTCGGGTTGAGGTTTGAGGTTTTCAAGGTCCCAATCCGGTTTTCAGCTCTCCCAGAAACCCACCCTAGACTAAAAATCCACGCCACGCTAAGTAAGTGCATGATGAAAATCAAGAAACACGGAATGTGACAAAGCTTGTGAGGCGAGTTGGTAGACAAATCCAACATTCTTCATGCATTCTCACACCTTCTTCATGCATTATCACAGCTGACCCTTGACTGCCGTCACATGCCAGCAGCATCGTGACATTGAGAACTGCAACGCATGAAGTGGGAAGGTCTGATCTACTGCCAGTGCTAGACTACAGGACAAAAAAATGCCAATCACGTCCAACACCACCACCTCCACCACCACCTCCACCACCACCACCACCACACCCCAATGCAACTGCAATGACAACCAAATTCATTCATTCAGACGATCGCACGAGTCCGTCCCATGCCAGGCAAGAAGAAGGAGGCAAATCTTTCGCGAGACTGACGGAAGATCCCGTTTGTTCTGTGTCAAAATGGAAGAGCTTTGGGGATTCGGAAGGTCCACGAGGGGGCATGGGTCACATCTGAAGCTCAGCAAGGCCCCCTGCATTTTCAGGCCCATCCCAGCTTGAAAGCTTTTGCTTCAGAAGGTCTGGCCATGGGGGGGCGCATTATGTCGCATCTGAAAACCGTCAAGCCCTTCCATTTTGAGGCCCAGCCACGGTTTCCGTGCCAAAACAGAGGTGCTTTCGAGGGTTATCTTGGGGTCCGGCCATCGACATGCTTCATCTGAATCCCACCAAAGCTCGCCTGTTTTGAAACCCAATCTCGGCTTCCGAGCTTTGAGGGGGCATCACTTGCAGGGGTTGAGAACAACCACAACCGCAACCGCAACTGCCACCACCACCACCATGACCAAATAACAACCATACGACTTTGAACTTGTTACAGAGAAAAACACATCGACAACAACACCGACGACCACAGCAACATTCTTTTAAGAAATTTCCAGGCATGTAGACATAGCTAGTACTGGTGAAAGGTTTGGGGTTGGACAGCCTGTGTTGAATATTCTCACAGGGAGAAACGACTGCTAACAATAGTCATACAATGCCAGCAGCGGGTACTAAGCAGTTGACACCACCAACACCACGTACTGTAATGCCATAAAACAGTCCTCGTCCACGGACCATGTCAAGGAGACTGACAGATCCTCCCCGTCGCAACTTCAAAGCTCCGGGGACTGCAGCTATATGATTATATGCAATGTTGGCCCGATGTTCCCTTTCATGATACACCCTGGCAATGAAGTCCGGGGACAAAGATTCAGAGGCCTTCTTAATAGAAAAGGGTCTACTCTGAGCTTGGCTCTTGCTGAGTTGTAAAACTGCCCGCCTCGTCAACCTCCAACAATGGCCTCAGAGGCTCCAACCCTCACAACACCGGGGTGCTACCTCTCATGCTAGGCTCCCGGCATGGACGCGGCTGACGCCAGGACTGTGCAGAGTAAGGCCTTATCAGTCACATTGGTCAAAGAACCATAAGCTTGCAGCATGTCTCCCGCGAGTCACATCCCGTCACACATCTCAAAGTCTCGCAGCCACCTCGAGGCGACATCGTGAGATACATTGGATGCTACGCTGTGGTCTTGAGAAAAATCATGAACATCGAGCGATCGAAATTGAGGGAGGTAACTGTGCGTGCCGAGCATGGGCCCTGCAGAAGCGAAGGCAAAAGTGAATGCAGCTTGAACCCCCTTTGAATACCCATTTCGCTTCGCGCCACACAATCGGGGGCTCATTCCACATCATCATCGTCGTCGTCTGCAATGTCAAGACCCTGACAAAGCACGCACTCATGCCTAGGAGCGCAATGTGTGTCACATGTTTTGTGCCGCTCTGAAAGACAGACCTGCCTCAACCGCTCCACCACGCTGAACCAGTCTGTAACTCTTGCCTTGCTCAACAGCCTGGAGAAAGTAGCAGCAGGTTTGCTGAGCTTGTGAATTCTCGTGAGAAAAACGTGCCGTCCTTCTTCATTTGTTCCTTCTGCAACTCTTCATCCTTGCACCACTCACATGCCATAACAAGCATCTACCGGAGACATATTATGGCTGAAGCAAAGTCCTGGCTCTGCTTCGAAACCACGTCAACGAGGACCGTGTAGTTCCCTGCCCAACACCAAAGCTGCGACTCATGACGCACGCTTGAAGGGGTACGTAAGAACGGACGCAGTGCTTGATTGCATCAACAAGCATTTTTGTCAAAGGCCTGCAGCTGTCTCCGGGTTGCGGAAGGCAATCTGCACAGGAACCTGAAACATGTCAACCAACACCACACAGCGCCTCACACAACTCCCTTGCGACTTCCGTCACCTTGGGTCGAAGGCCTCATGCAAGCCAACCCGGTTGAGGCCGCCATCAGGCATATCCAGGTCTGGAAAACGAGCTTTACGAGCAATGAAGGCACCTTTTGGTGAGCAAAGTCAAGGTTCGCACTGCCCGGCAGCAAGTCCAACTCGTGGTGTGTAGACAGGTCCTTCTGAGCAGGGCTGTGTTTCACCCACACCGAAAATGTCCAAACCACGCTTCACGCGTGCAAAGGACCCTTCATCCCATCCCAGGTACCGGTAAGAACCCGAATAAATCAACTTGAGTACAAAGACAACGTGCATCCACGTGCGTGCACGTGCGTGTTCAGAATGCCGAAGCCAAAGTCATCAAGGGACCAAGGGAATGACTCGCAGATCACTTGTGCACCTGCTTGCGCTTGCTGTTCAGAAAAGCAGCAGCAGGAGCTAAGTATCACGAGGGCAACAGCAATGGAAATGTGGATGCGAGAAGAATTTTGATCCGATCGCTTAGTGGTACACATGAAATCGAGCACAACGGTTTTTGCTTTGCATGATACTCGCCGGGCTGATGAACGCAAGTAAGAGGTTCAAGCGTTGCTGAGCCGTCAGCAACATGCCCCCTTGCGGTATCAACCAACTGCCATAGACCCATTGGCAACCCCCGGAGCACGGAGAACCCAGCTGTGCGTCTTGGAGCGCCTCAGCCAGGACAGACCCAATTTCGTCGTCTCCGCATGTCCACATCGAGCACAAATGCTCTCAGCATGGACCACATATATCGAGGACCATACATGGCGTTTGGTGAAATTAATACTTACAGTCCTGCCATCGGTTGTTCTAACACATCCTGCGAAATTCATGACGCAATCGCAATGTCTCTGACAGAAGGCAATTGCCATGTATGCCGCTCTCTGAGCACGCGGAGCTGAACATCTGCTGCTGTCGCCATCTGTTGTCTCAATGCTTCTGGCAAGCGCGCATGGAAACATAGCGTGAAGCCCCAGGTCACATGCCCAAGAGTCCTCCAGAATGTCCCAAACAGAGACAGGCTCCAGTAGCACCATGGTCTGGTCCTCTCAACTCGCAAAGCAGGATCTGTGCAGTGCATAAGCTGCAAAAACACCAAGCCTCACGTGCAGGGCGCACAAACCGAAGACGGACGTCGTCCACCTCGTTGCTGGCACTCGTGACTTCACTAGTGTGCAAGAAAGCCTACCAGATCCTACCAAAATAGGCAGGACATAGCAGGCATCAGCATGACCATCCTCAACATCAAACGCAAGCTTCATTCTATTTCATTCTGCAAAGGCTGTCGAACAGAGTCTGAAACGCAACGACATCAAAAAAGTTCCTGGCATCAACATCATGCCACGTCACCCAATCGAAGGGCAGTTGCCCCCTCTCTGTCGCAGCACGTGCCTCCCCATGTGCAAACAAAAAGGGCAAAAATGACGTGCTCGGACTGAACGACACGACACCTATACAACTATACATGTACAGCGATCATGCCTTCAGCGTAGGGTCTGCAATCAACGTTGGATCTGCAAACGCCTGTGTTGTAAAGCGCGTGCAGGGCAGTTGAACTGGACAGAAGTGCAACTCATGCAGAAGTTGTACAGCTGTTTTGAGGCTGCGACATCGATGTTTTCCCACGTTCCAAAAGCTGCCAAGCCCTTGGGCACCAGCACATGCCGAGCATACCCACGCCTGCCGAAAGAGACAGCGAAGTCAGATGGAAACGAAAGTCAACCAAACTGCCTTACGTGGACTATCTGCCCCTTTGCTCCGACCTCAGCAAACCACACACTGTTGCTCGTAGAGAATCAGACACGTCGCAGCAGCACGGTGCTGAGTCGCATGCTCCTCGCACAGTTTGCCTGAGTACTTAACAGGGAATCGTGTTCGTGACCGAACAGCAGCATCGACTCTTTCGACGACCACTGCAAGGCTGAAACCCAAGCAGAGTCTGCGCGACAAGGGTTTCTTGCAACGTGTCAAGATGACTCAGGCATGTGCAGAAGTACGACAGGGACCTGCATGCAACACGCATCATAAATCCCATCTGCACTCCGTGAATTTCGGAAAGTCTTGCCTGACTCTTGATAAATATGTACTTGGTGCCGACGACCTGATGCACGGACCATCATGTTGAAAACAAATGGTGAGGACTCTGAACTTAAACAGTTGTACACACAAATGGTCGAGTTGGAAACATCTTCCGTCAACACTCAGCATGGTGGACTCGATCCATGATATGAAAGAACCTTCTCCCAACAAATATCCAACGTCCAACGTAGTCATCGCGATCTGCACCAGGCTTGGCCAGGCTTCCCAACGGCTGGCTTGTCATGCGCTTTCCTCGTCGCATCCGGGTCAAGCCTGAACATATGTCGCTCACGCAGCAACAACATCAAGGATTTGTAGGCCATACCTGCTGAACAAACATTAACTTTTACACATAAATCAAAACCAACCAAAGCTGCAGTACGACATTTGAAAGATGCGTACATAAAGTCCCATGCAATACTAGTACTAGTCGGACCACAGACTCTGCCACAGACCTACCTTCGCGAACAAAAACATGAAGCTTTGCTTGGGAAGTCTCGCTATCTGTACAGCAGCACCATGAGTGCTTCTTCGTCACGGCTTGCAAACGGCCGGCACTGCTGAGGTGCAGGCCACCATCGTTGTTGGCTTTTCAAACATCCAAACCATGTCCTCCACCTGTTGGCATGCTGGTGTGCAAAAACTTGCGCGCGCCTGAACATGACCGCAAAATGGCTTGCCTGGACACTGCACATGATCTTCTACTGATTGGCTGCAACTGAGTTGCAACAACTAAGCTTGCCATTGGCACTTTAGCCAATTCGGAACACGAGACGCGGTTTACACGTGGAGTCATACGTTATGCATCACGCAAACAAGCGCGCTGTCCTCCCAAGCAACCACAAGCTGACAAATGTTGACAAGATTGGCATTGAATTTTGTCACGTATGCATTGCTCACGCGACATGGAAAAACTGTTAACTGTTTTCGCGAAACGCCTAGATTGGATTCTGTCTTTCACATTCCCTAGCTCACCAACCTACTCTCGACCGATTTGCCAAAGTTTCTTGTATTCTCTGACAAACTAGATGGCGAACCTCCAGACAATGAATCTGAATCTGCTGTAGTTTTCTTGCATGGACCGTCTAGAACCTGTTAACTTTGGAAACCTCCGAAGATTGCGTATCTGAGCATGGCTGTGGCAGTGCTCTGATAGCTTGACAAGTCATCTTCCATGGTTGTCCAGCCTGGCAGAGGCAAAAATAGAGCTGAGGTGGAAGAGGCGGAATGAAGTGGTGCGGAACACGCACAGCACTTTGTTCGGACTGATGGCCTGGATGCCAATGGTACCGGGATGGGCTTCATCCAGGCTGTTTGGCATGTGATGGTTGAGTTTTTTGGTCAGCATGGCCAGGGCAGTGTCTGCGTGCAGATTCTGTACTCGTTGCTTTACCCTGCAAACCACGATTGAGCAAGGTGGTTATGCACCAATGTGTGTTTCATGCGTGTTGGAGAGGACGAAGTGTCTCGGAGCTTGCGGACGAAACGCCCACGCCTCTTACGAGTGCAAGAAAGACTTGGAGCAACACACACTTGCACGTCTAATTTAGAAGGCCACGCTGGGCTTCCAAACCTTCGCCCACTCAGCCCCGGGAAAAGGCTGTGTGACAATATGCTCTGGCCTTGCTGTTGTGTGCGCTAACCAGGTCAAGCTGTGCAGTGTTTGTCGTTGTCCTTGTTTTTTGAGGATGTGTTTTCGGTTGTTTTTGCCCTTTCGCCCTTTACCCCCTCCCTGGGCATCCAGGAGAGCGCACGAACTTAATTACCCCTGGCCTTGCCCTCTTCCCATGGATAGACTTTGCTTTGCCACAGCTTGGGGTGGCTTCTGCCCTTCGCATGCCTATTTGGCATCAGGCCACTCTGCAAGCTGGGGGCACTTTTTGACTACTTGTAACTGTCGTGCACAAAGAACTCACCGGAAGTGCTGGGCAGCACGCCTATTTCCATCCTGCACTTCAATGCTCCTGGGTGCTTCGGCTCAGTCTGGCCTTCTCAGGCCGAAGCAAAAGCCTTACGCGCCTTTTCCTTGCCGCAACAAGGTTGCCTCCTCCCAGGGCCCCAACACCTACTTATACTTACTTTTCCCGTCACGCATATGCGTCGTAGTAAACAACAAACAGCGTGAGACAACACATGCAGAGAAGTGAAAAGCAGGCAATCAACACGGCAAAACCAAACCGGGCAACGAAGCGCGAGCAACGGCCGCCCCAGAGGCATGGCAAAGGTGAAGCAACCGTGGCGACAAGCACAGACCAAAGTCGGTGCACACAACTGTGTTTTCTTTTGCGCCCGAGCACCAGCTCGAATCTGTCTGCACAGTCTGTCGAAACCCTTTTGTGCAACTACGGGGTCGAGTCAATCAACGATGTGAAACGTTCTGCTACTGCTCGACTGGGATCGTCGTTGATGCAGCGCACTGGTGCACAGCGCAACTGCTCATAAACCGTAAGTTGTTGTTGCAAAGCTCTGTCAGAAACACATAAAGTCTTTGCCTTAGACATTGCATTATACTGCATTGTGCAGTGGCGAAAGGCGGGCGCGACTTCTGGAGAGCTCATTCTTGGGCTTCAAAGGTCGGCCCGCCTGGCAACTGTTACCTCGCTGGATGATGCTTTGGGACGCTTGTCCTGATTTACCCACGTAGTCAAATTGTCATGAGTTGACCGATGTCCCAACCAATGACCCACACGGCTCCTCAAACTTCCTCCACCTAAAATAGGCACCGTAGTCCAGGCGGCTTCCTCTTGTGGGATGTCCTGTGATCTATGATGCAGTCAAAAGATCTTCCAATTTCCGTCATCCATGAGAAGTTTAACAACAGGGAGTTTCTTGCACTTTGGTTCCCCAAGAGATCGCCAGGCTCCAAATAGAGCCATGCATGTATGGGCCAATTGAAAGAATCCTTGCCTTCTAACACCATGGCAGTACGTCTCCACTGACCTCGCGGACTGTGACCGAACCTTGCTGAAACTCAACGATGTCGTCTCCAATCTGCCTAGCTTCGCTTGCGTAGCCCCTTGCATCGACCTGCTAGAGATGTCTTGCCATGAAAGTCCCACACAAGCAGCATGGATCTGATCCACACAAGGTCAAACCAAGAACCCAAAAACAATCCGAACTACAAGAGTGCAAGATGAAATCCCCACGTTAAAAGTCCGCTTTGTATGCACATTTTCTGGAAGAGTAGAACAAGATAAAATATGAGGTGATACAGGGTAGTTGATTATATATACAGTACTTGACCCGATTTATATGTACTGTACAATTCAAAACGCGCCGTCCCCGCTACAATGACACTCCGCAGATGCGCCGCAGACATGCTCCGGCTCTCTGTCCTCCCGGCTCTCTGTCCTCCCGGCTCACGGACGCAGCGAGCCCAGTACTACATTTGCACTGCAAATCCTCCTGGCTCCCTGCGACGTGCCGTTGACGCGCGGATGCGATCTGGCGCCCTCCGGCTCTGTCCTCCCGGCTCACGTGCTGCAGATGCGCTCTCGCGCCCCTCCGGCTCTGGCCTCCCAGCTCACGCACACAGTGTTAACAAGTGCTTCATGTCTACTACAATTCAACGAAAATCCCTCGGCTTCCCGTGCCGACGTGCTCTCGCGCCCCTCCGGCTGTGTCCTCCCGGCTCATGCGCAGCGTTTTCATAATTCAACGAAAAGCCCACGGCTTGTTGTGCTATTGACGCGCCGCAGACATGCCGCAAACGTGCTCTGCCGCCCCTTCCGGCTCCTCCCTGCAGCGCTACATTTGTACTAGGTAGGCATTGTTGCTTTGCTGCGCTGAGCAGTCCGACTTTGAGGCTGTGCAAGGCGAACGCTTGTGCTTGCAGTTCGCTAACCAGGCGGCGCCCTCCTGGGCTGAGGAGCTGTAGGCAAGCCCTCATGGCTGGCAGAGTCTGCATCTATTCCATGCTTTGAAGGCGAGTGCCTGTGAGCACTAAGAGTAGTCGTGATAGTAGCAGTAGCAGTAGCAGTAGCAGTCGCAGTCGCAGTCGCAGTAGCAATAGCAGTAGCAGTAGCAATAGCAGTAGCAGTAGCAGTAGCAGTAGCAGTACCACTACAGTAGCAGTAGCAGTAGCAGCACCACTACAGTAGCAGTAGCAGTAGCAGTAGCAGTAGCAGTAGCAGTAGCAGTAGCAGTAGCAGCAGCAGTAGCAGTAGCAGTAGCAGTAGCAGTAGCAGTAGCAGTAGCAGTAAGCACCACGGCTCTGACTTGTCCCGATAGCGGGGCACCCTTTTTTGGTGATAGCTGGCGCCTCCTGCTACGCGATGGCTCTGACCGCTTCTATGGCTCTTGCCTCCTTTGCAATGCTCACGGATTCTAGCTACATGGAGGTAGAGGCGGTGTTGATTGCTCGTGGGAAGGCAGTTGAACAAATCCATAAAGTTTCCCACCGCAGCGACACAGCTGGACAATTGGCCATGCAGTTGATCAGCAACGGGGGCCTCCGCTGTTCTTCGAACATGGGGTCGTGCCGACGGAGCTGTGATGCAAGGACCAGCCCATTGCCGAAAGTACTCCTCGGCCCCAGGCTTGTGCACTCCTGCCCGATTGTGGAGAGCCGATGCATTGCCCAAGTTAACGTGTGGCTGTTCTACAGAATGAAGCTGCTCTCTCTCTGGGTCATGCAAGTAATGAGCAACGGGGGCCTCCTCTGTTCTTGGAACATGGGGTCGTGCCGACGGCGCTCTGATGCAGGACAGGAAGTGCTTTCGTCATCGTGCCGACGAAGTTGTGCAGGGACAAGCCGAAAGTACTTCTCGGCCCCTGCTTGTGCAAAACGGCCCCATTGAGGGAAGCCAATGCGTTGAGCAATTTGCCAAGAGGGCTCCACAGAATGGTGCTGCTTTATCTCTGGCTCATGCAAGGGATGAGCAACGGGGGCCTCCTCTGCTCTGGGAGCATGGGGTCGCGCCGACGGCGCTCTGATGCAGGACAGGAAGTGCTCTCGACATCGTGCCGACGGTGCTGTGCAAGGGTCCATCCAAAGCTGAAAGTACTTCTCGGCCCCTGGCTTGTGCAAAACGGCCCCATTGTGGGTAGCCGATGCGTTGCGCAATTTGCCAAGAGGCCGCTCTGCAGAATGGCGCCGCTTTATTTCTGGGTCATGCGTGGGATGAGCAACGGGGGCCTCCTCTGTTCTCGGAACATGGGGTCGTGCCGACGGCGCTCTGAGGCAGGACAGGAAGTGTTATCGTCAAAGTGGTGCTTGCTGGACGATGGGTGTCAGCCAAACACAAAAGAGCCGGCCCGGTCCCAAGTCCGGGGTACGCAGATATCTCTACAGCCTGTTCAAGATTATACACCTAGTTGGGTCTGCGTATGGTGTGAGGGTTCCGGTCCTGTCCGCAGGGGCCGGGGGAAGCGACACGCAACAACCCTGAACAGCTTTCAAGCGCTGAGGCAATGCGGAACACAGCATATATATGGGCAACGTGGGCAAGATCCCACCCAAGGTCGTGCGACTGTCGTTATGACTGTGCCCTTAGTCTTGATACTTGTGCATTTGTGTGTGCCGACTCTTCGGCCACAGGAGTTCCAATCAGGATACGACAATGTATGGAATTGCTCTGATGTCCAAACTCATGGAGCTCTCACCTTCGAACGCAATAGCTGGAAGGAAATGTGGCGACATTCGTTGTGGACTGTTCGCTCCTGCTCCCCACCTAGCCCTTGGGAATCTGTGGGTTGGCCCGTGGCTAGTTCGGACAATGAGGCAACTTGCGCGATGCGACGAGTCACTGTAGTTCCGAACTCTCCATGGAGGTCCTCAACTGATTGCTTCTGAGTGCGATACACCATTTTGAGCTGACCACGTTGTTTTGCACCTGTGCTTGTATAGTGCATGTACTGACCGTGGGTGTGATTGGTGGTTGCTTGGCTATTCGTAGCGGATCACCTGCCTTTTTTCTCATGTGGAAACGGAAATCCGTTGCGCTCTTGAAGCGCCGCTGCAAGGCAGTGCCACTAGGCTGTACGCTAAGCTGTGGATAGAGACTGCGGCTGCGACTGGAATGGAATGGAAATAGCAATAGCAGTAGCAGTAGCAGTAGCGCAGTAGCAGTAGCGCAGTAGCAGTAGCGCAGTAGCAGCAGTTGCAGTAGCAGTAGCAGTAGCAGTGGTACCACTAGTAGTAGTAGTAGTAGTAGTAGTAGTAGTAGTAGTAGTAGTAGTAGTAGTAGTAGTAGTAGTAGTAGTAGTCGTAGCAGTAGCAGTAGCAGTAGTAGTAGTAGTAGTCGTAGTAGTAGTAATAATAGTAGTAGTAGTAGTAATAGTAGTAATAGTAGTAGTAGTAGTTGTTGTAGTAGTAGTAGTAGTAGCAGCAGTAGCAGCAGCAGCAGTAGTCGTAGTACTGGTAGTAGTAGTAGTAGTAGAAGCAGTAGCAGCAGCAGTAATAGAAGTAGTAGTAGTAGTAGTAGTAGTAGAAGAAGTAAAAGTAAAAGTAATAGTAGTAGTAGTAGTAGTAGTAGTAGTAGTAGTAGTAGTAGTAGTAGTAGTAGTAGTAGTAGTAGTGGTAGTAGTAATAGTAGTAGTAGTGGTAGTAGAAGAAGAAGTAGTAGTAATAGTAGTAATACTAGTAGTAGTAGTAGTAGTAGTAGTAGTAGTAGTAGTAGTAGTAGTCATAGTAATAATAGTAGTAATAGTCGCAGTAGTAGTAATAAAAAGTAGTAGTAGTAGTAGTAGTAGTAGTAGTAGTAGTAGTAGTAGTAGTAGTAGTAGTAGTAGTAGTAGTAGTAGTAGCAGTAGCAGTAGCAGTAATAATAGTAATAGTAATAATAATAGTAATAGTAGTAGTCGTAGTAGTAGTAGTAGAGCAAGCCTATAAAGGATTTCCCGCTGGGTAGATGGAAGAAAGGAAGCCATTACCTGACACAGGCGCAAATCAGGCGCAAATCACTGGCAGCCTCCCTCCTCCTCTCGACAAACAAGCTCGGGAAGAGGCGCTTTCATCACCCTGAGGCACAAGCCTGTGAAAGACCTCAATTTCTTAAGCCAGATGTGGAATAGGTCAATGCAGTCTTACTCAGGGCCTCTGAGAAATTATTCCCGAAAGCATAAAAGCCCCCACAACCGCCCCTAAATGCAATGCATAGGGCCACAAAGCGAAATGTGGGCGCCTAATAGTTTTGGATGAAGACCTTAGTAGTGCGTCTCTAATCCAGGCCAACCATGACACGCTTGCGCAGGATCTCTCCACCTGGCATAGACAAGCAGAGTCTCTAAGGAAGCTGCACGCTCGTCTGTGTAATGCTGCAATAAGGCAGAACTGCAACTGCGCAGGTCCGTTCTGGCGAAGCTAAAACTGCTAGAAAGCGGATCGTCCGACTTATGCGCACTGTTCTTTTTACGGGTGCTGCTCTGGGCAAGTTGGCATCCGGCAAGAGACCTTCGGGCCTGATGGGCATGATGGGCGGCACACCTCCACTTTAGCGGCCCAGGGCAGACCAGTAAAGTTCAGGCCAGGCATCTTCCACCGCGTGTGGTAAGCCCGCGTCTTCACCTTTCCCGCAGCCCCCAGTTGGGCGCAGTCTTGGGGGGGCCTATCTTGGCCTTCAGCTTAAAGCCGCAACCTTAAGGGGGGCCAAACAAGCAGTATTCCTAGCCCTTCCGCCTTATGCGGACGCCTTAAAGAGAACAAGCCCGCGTTTTTGCTGTCAGCCTCAGCCCGCAGTCCCCAGCTAAGCCGCAGTCTTAAGGGGCCGGACCCATGTCTTGGCCTTTCTTCCAGCCGCTATCCTGGCCTTCGACCTTTGGCTTGAAGCCGCAACCTGAAGGCCAAACAGCTACAGCTATCTTGGCCACCGGCCACAGAGCGGCAGCCTCAAGGAGGACACTCTCTCGCTTTCAATCTTGGGCACCAACAGTCCAGCCACTGTGTAGGAAAATCGCCCTAGCGCGCGTGCGCGGCCCGCGACGCCAGCATCGTCATTTTGCCTAAGCTCTTGGAGGGTTGAGAAGTTGACACTGCCCACCGCTGCACACAGCGATGCCATCTGTGTTTTTGCCACCGCTCCTTGCAGCCTTCGCATAAACGCCCATCCATTGGCCATGAGCGCCAAAGAACGGGCGTCCATGCAAAAGTGGTGGCAAAAACACAGAGGCACAGATGGCATCGCTGTGCAGCGTGTAGGCAGTGTTATTCCAAACCCCCAAAAGCTCAGACCAGATGGCCGCTGGCGTTACGGCCACGCGCGCAAACGCTAGAGCGATTGTTCTAAGCAGTGGCTGGACTGTTGGTGTCTGACAGTTTTAAGGCTTTTGTGATTGCACAGATTGCCTCAAATATAAGAAGATGGCCGGGCTGGCGTTGTGGGCCGCGCGCGGAACGCTAAGGTGATTTTCCAAGCAGTGGCTGGACCATTGGTGCCTGACAGTTTTAAGGCTCTTATGATTGCGCAGATTGCCTCAAATGTTTTGAGACTTCACATGAGGTAAAGTCTCAAAACATCTGAGGCAATCTGCGCAATCGCAAGGAGCCTTAAACTGTTAGACACCATGGTCCAGCCACTGCTCAGCAAAATCGCTCTACTTTTGCGTACGCGGCCCGCCATGCCAGCCGCCCTTGCCTGAGTTCTTGGGGAGGTTCATGACGACACACGCCCACGTGCGACGCACAGCGATGCCATCTGTGCAATTGTGCTATTCGTACAATGCCAGTAAAGCCCACACGCACGATTTGACAGAGCCGTAGTTCCAACAATTTAAGCCTTTCACATCCGTTAAGCACGGAGATGGGGCCCCTTGACAAAGCGTCCTCTGCGCAAGCCTAAGTCAGCACTCTGCCAATCGTCATGCCACCAGCTGGTGTCACCAATGTCTTCAGCCCTTTTTCTTTGTTACCTTCAAATCCTTTTTCTTTTCCTTTCAATGCACCTATGTCCATGGGAACTGGTCCTTCTGAAAAGTTTGATAACCTCCAGCCAAATGTCTGCTGGTAGCACTGCTTCACAATCTATACAACAGAAAACGTGGTCACAGCATCAACGTTAAGACGCAAGTGTTGCTGCACCTAAGGTTTTGTTAACCATCAGAGTGACCAATAGGTCACCATCAAGAAGCTTTCCTGTGGCTTTCTCACGCTTGTTCTTCAATGAAATAAACTGCGTCAATTCCGCTTCAAATAAGGCGTCTCAGAATCGTCCAACAATCTGCTCAAAAAACTCACTTCTCTGGCTCTGTCAGGCAATGCGAAACCTTCGTACAAGCCTCCAAGTCTCAAAACCATTTCCACCTTTGTTCACTGACGACCAATCCAGCAGGGCCATGTGATTTGTTAAGATAATGCAACTGTCTGCTGAAATCAACTGACCTTTGATTTGGACAATTTGCTGTTTCGAATCTTCCAGGATTATAAGTACCTTCCAATGTGTCCATCAAGAACTGGGCTACAGGTTTACACAAGAAACACACAAATTCAATCTCCATTTTTTGGACTTACCATGGAAGATCAGAGAAAACAATTTAATTTCTCCTTCTAGATCTTGAAGTTTCCAAACACTGCCATCACGAATCTAGACAATCTTTTAAGAAGCCCTTGGACTTCGTCCAGTGCTGCTACCATAAATTTTAAAATTGAAATCGACTGTCAGGTAATCTTAGAACTGCTCAACTCAATCAAGCACAATCAAGCACCAACTCTGCTTTGTGATGCAATCTCGAGCTCAATAAACGAATTCTTCCGCCAGCGTGGAACTTGAAAATCTTGCATGCCAAACACAGAAACAAAAAAGAAAATGGAAGTGAAAATTCGAGTTGTTGTGGATGCAAAGTGGAAACGTGGGTGGGTGGATGGCCTTTGGTGTTTGAGACCAATGCAAACAAGAATCCACCGGCACCAATTCGACTGCTCTGCGAAAGTACTTTCCGCGCTGATGGCATGTCACAACTACACTGCTGTCTTCTAAGTAACACATGGAAGCCATAAAATCAAACCAAAAGGCATTGTGAAGTTTCTACACACTGCACACTCACTTTAAATAGCGTATTGGGCAAAAACACACTCGTATGATTTCCTTGGAAATCAACAAGGCATAAAACATCGAGAATGGGATCACACGGATTCCCAATCACTCCGAAGCAAAACAAACCTGTACAAGCTGATCCAAAACATGACAAAAACCATCACTGATCAGCCACAATCTTCCACAAGGACGCAGTGCTACTGTAGAGGTGGCAAAGTCTGCTTTGGGCTTTGCCCTCAGACAAAGCGTCCGGGAAAACACGTGCCCAGAAACCGGCATGCAACAAGACTTCTGAAAAGAAAGAATTGCAGGCAGTGCACCTGTATTGGCTGCAGCGGGAGGTTTAAGTTGCTTCAACTGGGACCGGGGTCTCTGCGAAGGTGCAGTTAAAACTTCTTCCTTCCACCCCGTTCCACACCTCCTCAATGAACTCTGGCCCTTTTTTGGTTGAAACTTCAGATTGGTCCAGCCTTCCAAGAAAAGATTTCCCTAGAAAAAACAACCTTGATTCAACACAACTGCTGAAAAATTGGTGGCTTTTTGTTTTTGGTCCTGCTTTGTCCAAAGCATGGACCGGAGAAAGATGTGTGCACTTTTTAGGAACATTGTTCATGAACAAGTGCTTGGCAGTGCGTGAATGCGTGTCTTTGCTGCCTGCACGCAAGTTCTCTGCCCAAAGTGGTTTTTCTCTTTCGATGTGCGTAGTCGTAAAACTTTTCAATTTTTGGAAAAACTTGAAAACATTGTCAAACAAAAAACTGCCACATTTTTTTCTTATTCGAGTTGTGTTTTAAATCTGTTAAGATCTTCTTGGACACTTCTGCTTTCCAGAAATTCGAA